TGGGGCCGTACTTTGTGTGGATGTCCATCAGGCTGTTGTGCATGTTGCCGGCCATGAAGGAGAAGCCCCATTGGAGAACGGAGGCTGCCCATAGTTTCGGGCCTGGATATTTGCGGAGAGGGTGGAAGTAGACATTGTAGATGGGTCTGAGTATCACGAGGTAGACGAAGGTCTGCCTCATGTGTCAGCGCTTTCTTCTACGTTCGCTGTGGCAGGATAGCTCACTAGTCCGGCGACGACGGCGCCTAATATGGGCCATGAAAGCCCGAGTGTGACTTCAGCCAGCATTCTTGCGGCTTCTCGTCGCAGTTCCGTCTACGGAATACTTCAGATGAGAGCAAAGTTGAAGGCTGGACAGTGACAGAAACTTTGCCGAATGATGACTTGCATGAAAGTTCAAGCCGATCCAGAGCGCTGGGAGGGAGCGACTCCCAGAAAATGGCAGGAAATTCGGTCTGCTAACCACAACATCAGTTTTTGCAATACACGCCAGAAGCCAACTAGTCCATCCGAACCTTAAGCTTCGCACATCGCATTCTTCAGATACCCGTCTCCGGCTACTGCGTGGGACGATGTCCGGCCCCGAGTCGCGAGCCGCCATTCGGAGGCGGGGTTCGGTGCCGATTTCCTAATTCGGCAACCAAGTAGGGGGAGCAGGGATCTCTCGCCTTGCCCGATGTTGCAACAGTCTCTATCGTTCGAGATTGATTTCAGTCACCAGGTTATATGTCTAAATGGGCATTTTAGCAGGTTGAATCCGAAGCCTACCATAACGAAAGCGCCCTCTGCAGCAAGATGGCACTACCAAAGACTCAGACCGCAGTAATCCAGTCGCAATCGGCATCCAGAGAATCCGGTCTCCGTCTGGCTGTCAGCACCTCCAAGCCCATTCCAGAACTACCCACGCCATACCATGTCCTCGTCCGCGTCCTCGCCGTGGGCCTCAACCCCACAGACTACAAGATGGTCACCCCGACCCATCCCCGTCGAGTCTCTGGACCTTCTCCCCGGGTTAGGGGGAGCTTGGCTGCGAGTGGCCTCGTAGGCGGCACTTCTTCATGGAAGGCAACACATTAGGCTGCGACTTTAGCGGGATCGTCGAAGTCGCAGGCTCATCGTCCATCGTGCCCGCCGGCGTCCGGGTCTGCGGCGCCGACTTCCCTTACCGCCCTGACAACTCTTCAAACGGTGCCTTTGCGCGATACGTTGTCGCGGATTCGCGGCATACGATCAGAGTGCCGGACGGGTGGAGCGATACGCAGGCGGCGGCATTAGGGTCCATCGGATGGTGCACGGCATGTCTGGCCATCTCAGACCCAGAGGCACTGAATCTGAAGGGACTGCCGTCGCGTCCCGCAGAGAACCCGAGTCCTGTGTTGGTTTACGGCGGTGCCACGGCGACGGGCATCATGGCTGTACAAATGCTGAAGCAGTAGGTTAAGATCAGTCCCTTGCAGATAGGCAGAAACTCACCTCAGACAGATCGGGCTATGCACCAATCGCTGTTTGTTCCGATAAATCAGCACCACTCGTCAAGAAGTACGGTGCCATCGGCACAGCATCGTACACCTCCCAAGACTGCGCCAAATCAATCCAGACCCTTGCTGGTGGGATGCCAATTAAGCACGCCCTTGATTGCATCACGGATGCAGAGTCTGCCGCTATTTGTTACAGCGTGCTGGCCAGGGTCGGAGCGAGATATGCATGTCTTGAAGATTGCCCCGAACAATGGCGGACAAGGCGCGCTGTCAAGTCGAAGGCGGTCATGGGGTTTGAGGCACTTGGGTACGATGTTGACTTGGGCCATCCGACATACTCGCGGAAGGCGAACTTTGAACTGCATGATGTTGCTGCGCAGTGGGCTCGGGAAGTACAGTCGCTGTTGAAAAACAAGCAGCTGGAGACGCAGCCCATCAAAGAGGTGAGTGGTGGTTTCGAGGGGGTCATCAAAGCGCTGGAAATGTTGCAAAGTGGCGAAGTCAAGGGCGAGAAGCTCGTGGTCCAAGTATCAAGTTAGAACACCGCATGAAGAAACCGTGTCTATCATCTTGCGTCAGAATGACCAATCACTCGCGTGGGGAGTGCATTCCTCTGGGATTGGAGTTGATTATGACTACCTGTGCCAACATGTCCACGTTTGCACATCTAAAAAGGCTCTGCGTCTCCTCACGAGCGGGGACATTGTCGAAAGACATGCTGCGATAAACATCCCACCAATATTATATGCTCACGTCCTGACATCCATGCGTGATCCCTCAAGGGTGGGAGTCCTGCGAGCCGGGCTCCTGAGAGTCGGGGATCTCGTCCTTCTTCTTGGTGATTTCGTCCATCTGCTTGCCGACCTCATCCATGTTCTTGGCGATCTCGTTCTTCTTCTTGGTGATTTCATCCATCTGCTTGGTGATCTCGGCCTTCTTCTTGGCGATCTCCGTAGCCTCGGAGACAGTGGCATCGTCTTTCTTCTCGGAGGTGTCGGTGACCTTGGGAGAAGAAGGGTCTGACGTGGCAGGAGAAGCGTCGGACTTGGCAGAAACAGCTTCGTCTTGAGAGGGAGTAGCAACCTCCTTCTGCTCAGAGACGTCAGAGTCCTTGGCAGGGGCATCCTCCTTCTTGTCGGTCGAGCCATTCTGATCGGCCTTGACGGCGGTTTCCTTCTTGCCTTCGATGGAAGCGTCCTCACGTTGATGAGCAGCTTCGTTCTTGTCCGCGATGGACTGGAAAGTAGCAGCGGCCGAGCCGGCGGGAGGGCGGTGGCCGAGAAGGCGAGCCTGTTGGTGTCAACGTCAGTAGGTCCCAGACGGCAAGGTCGAGGATGCAGACATACTTCAGCAGTCTGGAGCTCCTTAGCATCGTCTTTGGTGATTTCCGACTCGGGCTTGCTCTTGAGATCAGCTTCCATCTTCAGAACGGTCTGCTGCTTGTCGTGCATGCTTTGAGCAGTGGCTGGAAGTAGACGTCAGCAAGGAACTAGAAAAGGCAATTAGCAACAAAAGGGAGGCATCTTACCAGCAAGACCATTTTTGACGGTGTGGTCATTGCCGGTCAAGGCCTTCTCGGCCTTGTCGATGTCGGCAATTTCCTTGGGCGTGATGATGTGACCGTTCTCGGCGAGGTTCTTGATGGTTTCCTTGTCGGTGGCAGCCATGATGTGCAATTTTCTGAGTCTCAGGGATCGCTTGTGTGGGGTAGTAGGGAAGAAGTGGTGGCAATGAGGCGAGTTTGGTGTTGATTGAGGTTGGGTGATGTTGGAAGCGGGACGTTTGAGGACGTGACCGGTGGGAGGAAAGGTTGAAATAAATACCCAGAGCAGGCTCTTGCCTGCCTGCTTCTCCGTTTGTTCGTTCTTGCACTTTCTGTATTGATGCTTCCATCACGGGAAGGTGCATACTATCAAAAGGCAGTCGCCGACCCACCTCCTCCTGCTTGGAACAAGAAAGCCCGTGTCTGGAGTTTGAAAGAAAGTAGGAGCTTCTCTTGAATGAGCAGGCACCAACCTAGATATCCAATTCTGACGATAAAGTGCAATTCGGGAGCTACGAATTACAAACTTTCCAATGCCATTGCCACTTACTTGCCTCAGACTGGGCGGAAAGCTTGATTCTCACCCCGCCACCTCGCTTCACGTTGCGGACACCAAACCATCAAAGGTTCAATCCATTTACTGATAGTAACAACCAGGAGCAAATGATAGAAAAATAGGCCAGGCGTCTAAAATAATTCCGCGGAATAGCAAGGTTCAATTTTGGTCCCGCTTCAAAGCCCCCAGAGCTTGCAAGATCCGACATGTATGCTTCAAGATTGGGAATTGTCTTCCTGTGACTTCCGATGCAAAAAGACTCCGTACCCTCTCCAACGCAGAAACCAGTAATCCTTCTTCACCGTCGTAGCTTCTTGTTCCTGCAACGTTATCATTGGTGCTCCTACAATCGTTCTCGATATTTCCCGCAACACTTGATATGTACGGCTTTCCATTACCGTAACTGATCCATCGCTGAGATTTGATCGTCTCTTCGCCATCAATATGTATCCTCAGCTCGTCCTCAGCAGATTGTGCTTCGCCGCCTGTCATTGACGCAGGGCACGTCTGATACAAGTTGTGGACCCACAAGTTCAGCATGGCCTGGTAACATGCAAAGGCGTGAAAGTCTGCCCTATCCTTCGGTGAAAGCCGGTCCACAGCTCGGAGAATCTGCCCCGAATGCCAAGTCGCACGCCTAGCTTGTTGAGTTCCTGCCCAGCTTCTTAACTGCTCGAACGCCTCGCAAGACAACCAGTAGCTCTCGTTTCCTAGCAGAGCATCCACCATGGGCATGGGTGCAGATGCGCAGAACTCGCTGTATGCGAAGTAGAACGACGCGAGAGCATGGCTTGCGTCTGGCTCTGACTTGAGGATATAGCGAATATCATTGAAAGTCCTCAGGTCTGTTGTTGTGATTTCCCAAGTATCTGGAATGCCACGTGCCCAGTCTGCCCGGCACACAATGTTAGTAGCAAGGTAACGCGTGCGAGCTTCGACCAAGGTCGGTATCACAGAGCATGAGGCCATCAAGACCGCCAAATTTAAGTCGAATGACGGTGGCAACCTCTCAAGAATGGAAACATCAGAGAGACACTTTGAGAGACTCAGGCCTTTCTGATCTTCCGGGCCTCCATTCAACACCTCACTATATGTTATGCTCCACTTCGCGGCAGATTCTGCGAGCCAGAGCTTGGAGGTATCCGGCAGTGGAACAGTCATGTCGTGGCTGGGTACCGGAGAGGGTGTGTTCCTGAAGGAGCTTCGTTGTATACATTGCAGGTAAAACCGATGAACGGCTCTAGATCATGTTAGCCAAATCACATCACAGCCAGATCACATCAAGGGAAGCTAATTACCTCTTGAAGGACTCTTGATTCGCCCATTTAATCCATGAAAGGTGCAATTCTTCTTCGTGCCCGTTCACGGATGGCGTGAACAACTCGTAAGATACACGAAACAATCGTTTGCTATGGCGTAGTATCTAGAGCTTGTTGATTAGCATCGAAAGGTCATGAGCAATCCATCACCATCAGCTTCTTCGTACCGACGCAAGAATGGCCGAAGTAGCATCAGACATCTCAGTCTTCCTCTGGTCTCCACTCCAGAGTGCGCATTCGCACACCAAAGTCATGGCCTGGATGAATGGCAGGCTGCGAGTCATTGCGTTGTCTCGGTCGCCCTGAGGCATCGTCAGAATTTGAGAGCGAAGAGGTTCTCGGACCAACTCACAGAATCCATCAGAACCATCCTTACTACATCCATCAACGCAAATCCAAATTCATTTGCCAAAGGATGTGTTGAAAACGCAGCGCCAGCCGATACCATGGCAGCGAGGAGCAGAGGGTCGCAGTCAGCGACATTGAAGGTGGGCAGATGAATCATTCCGACAATGTCGTCCTGCTGTTTGGACAGAAATATCTGGAGCATCTCTCCGAGAATTCTTGTTGAAGGGAACGAAGTTGCTGCCGCCAGACTTGGGGGATTTGCGGAATGCTTCTGAACCAGATACACGATCTGGTCTCGTTTCTCCGCGGTCAGATGATGACTTAGTAACGACAAATCATGTTCCCCCATCTGACCAACCATAGACGCGTGTTCCGTGACCGATATGAAAAGACACTCGGTTCTGGAAGAGGCTCCCTGCGCCGGCTTCCAGTTACCCAGCGTGTTGTCGTAGACTTTGCTCGCCTCATCAGAGACCACACTCTGGCCACTAGATTCAATGAGCAACGATGGCCGCGCTTCTGTTTGTAGGTTTACCTGTGAACTCGGGGCCAGCACAGGCGCAAGCGAAGACAGCATGGATGAATCGATTCCAAAGACATCGAGCGCTCCAAATGAGGTCAGGAAATCATTGAATAGGAACGTGTCGTCCGCCCATGAGCCCTGCCCGATGTCTAACTCCAAAGCAGCTTTTTCGGCCACGGCAGTCGTGGCTGGCGAAACGGTTCTTGAAAGGACGGGAGGGGAGACGTCATCCTGTGCAAGCTCACGCCGATCATCGGCAACGCAAAATGGCCCAGCGCTTCTGATGCACTCGATGCCTTTTCGTAGACACCTTCGGCAACTCCTTTGATCGTCGCATCTGACTTTAGATGTTGCGCAAGAATCACATGCCTGTGATGCCCGGGGTGGTCGGCGGGATAGTTGTCTTCTCTTAGCAGACGGGCGACCATCACCGTCAACCAGGTCCTTCCCAGGCAGGATTCGCTTTCGACCTTCCATCATAAAGGCGCTTATTGTTCTTTCTTATATGATCTTGATCTCTGGCTAGATAGAGTCAGGGTGAGTTGGTTGCTTGTCGTGCTTCAAGACCACCGTTGGGTCTGAGGGGCCATTGGTTGGTGGTTGGCGTCCGTGGAGATTGATTCACAGTACCAAGTTGCCTTAGCAATAAACCAGACTGAGATATGTATGCCTAAACGCGAAACGCGTCCTTCAGGACAAAATAGATAGTTAACTTTCACACTTCTAGGCAAAAAGGGGCTGAATCGGACAGACATGGAAATCGAAGCTGAGGCCCGCTCCTTGTCGATCACTGGCGATGATGTGGGGAACGGCCCCTCACCAGCGTCTTGTAAGCGGCTTCGCGGACAGCAATTAAGCCCGAGAACACGGTCATGATTTTGTGCTTTCCAGAAGCGCCTCTCCGTCGCACACTAGATCGTCATCCTATTAAAGGCCTTATGTTGGCTTGCTTCCACTATCCATGATTCTAAGCACCAATGCATACAAGAAGACCTCCTCCTACTAAAGTCCATGATTCCTGAATCGATAGTTGTTGAAAAGCTGACGCCTATCCAGCCTGCGCAAAGTGGTGCCTGGTTTTGCATCAAATGTTTTCTAAATAGCTGCTCCACGGCACTCTCTTTCGATGAGTTGCCGATGGGACTCACTTCGGACGTTGATCTTCACCTGGAATGACGGACCATGCTTCGTCACCTTGGGTGACTGCGAGGTGTCGATCGTCGCGCCAGGTACTGGCAGAACGTCGAAACAGTAGACTAGTCGAGCCAATGAGATGTGCAAGTTAGTGATAGCTACGTTATAGCCAACACAAAGTCGTCTCCCTGCATGACAATTAAGATTTAGCCAAGACGGAACCGATGGACTTTGCCAAGATGAAAATGGCATCTTACCTGCGCCGAATCCGAGATGTCCCTTGGCGGGCTTGTCAAGATCTTCGTTGATGAATCGTTCTGGCCAAAATCTCTCTGGCTGGTCGTATTCGTCCGGGGAATTTGCGATCGCCCATTGATTATACGTCACGATGGTTCCCGCTGGAATTTTATATCCTTCGAATTCGTCGTCTCGCATCAACGCATGAGGGATTCCCGTCTCAGCAATCGTCGGCCTGGCATCGGGACCCGTCAGCGGTGTAATTCATGCATTTCCTACCATCCACATGAGACGGCTTCCAGGGGTGCAAGACTTACTTCCAACGAACACTCTCCTTCACTGCGCCCTTAATAATTGGCAAGTTCGGCATGTCCTGGGCGGTCGGCAATCGCTCGGCGTGAGCACCGCATACTTCATCAAGCTGCTTTCGAGCACGCTCAATCCAATCCGGCCACAACGCGGCGGCAGCCACACATTGGTCCAAAGATGCGCGAGTGGTGTCTGTGCCAGCTTCCATGAGGGCGCCTGCCATGAACAGAAACTCGTCCTCGGTGAAGTCCGAATCGTGCTGCTTCTCAAGGAATTCCGTCATAAAGCAGTCCCGCTGTTTGCCCTGTGCTCGCCGTTCGCGAAGTTGATCCAGCTCTCGCTTGTATACCCTTTACGTTGATGAGTGATTGTGAATTAGCGAGTCTGGATGGGAGTCTCACGCGCGAGTACGCTTATACAAGTCGTCGCCGTACCATCGCCACGGCTGCAAACTTTTAAACCATGTTATATCGGCGAGGAAAGGAAAATGGTCGACGATCGCGCGGCCGGGCATGAGATACTCGACAAACTCATCAGACACAGCAAGAGAGTCGCTCAAGTTCGCATCATCAACGCCGGCTCGGCGTCCGAAAACGACGCTCATGATGACCGAGCCGGAAAAGGCCCCGTGGCTCTTCCACCATTCATCTGGACGTTGGAGGTAGTTGAGGAGCAAAGCCTTGGACTCTAGGTCTTGGAACGGCTCGAAGATGTTGCGCTGTGTAGCATTCAAAATCTGATGCATGACCTTGCGCTCTCGACGCCACAAGTCTCCGTAGGGCATTAGCAGGGTTCGTTTGCCGCGGGACACGAGGTCGCAAGCCATTGGGAGATTCATTCTTGAGGAGTAGATGGCTGCCCTCTTTTCCAGGAGCTCGTTGACAGTTCGTATGGAGTTGAGAAATAGCCAGTTCGTTCCTCCGATGTTGATTGTAAACCTAAACGTAGGGTCACGGTCAGAGGCACCTTCATGTGCATACTTATTCGACGATACTGATTGCGCAGTAGTCTCACTTGAGCTTCTTACATTTCGCCATACTTCTTCGCCAAGTCTTGGAAGAATAGGTACGGAAGGTGTCGTGGGATTTGATGGGCATTCCCAATTAGTGGTAATCCGGGAACCGGGTTGGGCAAACGGTATCGCTTCTTAAACTTTATCACCTTCACGAACTTCCGAACTAGCCATGCAAGCAAAATAATGAGGATGCCTGTCCCAAACGCTTGACTCGACAGCATCGTTTCTGGAGAGAGGAACTTCATCTTTGCGTGGCGTTGCTGGGGTTAAGAGGGTGTAAGGGAGAATGACAAGAACAGACGACCGATTTGTAGGAAAGGAGAACCTATTGTGTGACTTGAACGAACTCATTGCTCGCAGGACCGGATCTAGCTAGTACTTAAGGAGAACAAGCATTTCGCCTCCCGGCGTGGAAAGGTAATGTTCAATCCTCGCCAGTATCATTGCGCAGAAGCTCCCCGAGGCCTTGAAAATCATCGGGGCATGCCGGCGCCTCTTGCCTGTGGATTTGGTGTGGTGCTATGGAAATGTGTTAATCAACTACCAGACTTGAAGTGCCGGTGGATCGGGGAACGTTGACTCCCCGAGGTGGAGGTTCGGCATGCCGAGAACCAATGATTGGCTTAACGGCTGAACCTCTCCATTGAGAACCACGACACGTTGAAACGGTTCCATTAAGTCTACGGTCATGAAATTATGTTCTGAATGTGCAAAGTTAAGCACTTTGGGGAAGACGAAGGGTTGCACTTTTCTCCGAGGGCCGTACCAAATGCAGAGTCGGTTCGGTTTGTGGAAAGGCCTCGACCAACCGGGACCTCTGGAATGTCAGAGTCAATGTGATACTTGCGGCTGTGTTCGTGGAATCTATCCAGTGTTGAGGCGAAGAGCTTATAAGCAACCAACACGCTCTATTCTTCTGACGAGTGCCTTGTCTACTTTGATTGCAAGTTTGAGGGTCGTCAGTTGAACTAAGGACATGAAGTGATGTCTTAGGTGAAGGTTGGGATCAGCAGGGTGAGCAAGCCTTGAGATTATGTCCCCAGCTTAGATTGCTCATAGTATCAGGCTAGATCATTCATATAACTCATGCAGGTTTGTCTTGCTTACGCACCTCGGGCTCGAGCCAAGACTGCATCCACCCTGACCAACCTGTGTAAGCCTCAGCCTCCCAACAAGCCATCCTGTAGATCCTTCCCCCGCTAATACCAGCGACTAAATTTAGACGCCAATCCTGATCGCATTCCATTGTTATGCATTCTCGCACTGAGCCCCGCACTTAGCCTTAGCTTCCTGTCCCACACGTGCACAACCGGGATCAGCTGCAAGTCGTCGGATTCTCGTGCGGTTCATCTGGAGCTTCTGCGAGGCGGAGTCTAGTAACATCCACGGAAGCCTGTGTTTATGCTTATTTGGCTGAAAGGTCGGTTTTTTTTGTTTTTTTTTTGAATGCTGCGAAAGCCTTGGCGGGCTTGTCATGGGTCGAGGCTGTTCAAGCCCTGCTGGAAGCTGTCAGTGCTAAGCCTGGGCCCGGAGCTGAGGCCGATCGTGAGATTTTGATGCCAACAGAAGCCTTGCTTCAGCCCCGCTGGGTACAGCAGTCCGGGGGCTATCATGAATGTCTCGGCCATTTTCATGTCAATGCCGAGGAGATATAAAGTGGTAGCTGTTTTCCGACACGTATTCACATTTTCCATTACCAGCATCTCATCGTTACACACACTACAATACCGCCTTGTCCCACGCCAGAGTTTCACCGCATTATATCCTTCTTCAACCCGCCTAGTGCAACCTCCTCCAAGTTTCTTCACCGCTTCAAGATGTCTTCCAAGCTCCTCCTCGCCCTGACCAGCATCATCTCTCTTGCTGCGTCCCTACCCTCCGCGCCTCGCGAATGCTCCCAGACCTCGGTCCCGCCCAGCGCGTCAACCGCGACCCCGGGTTTGATCGCCCATCCCCAACACTTCAACGTCTACCAGTCCGCCAACCAACCCAACCACCCCACCGACAACGTCCCTCATCTCGACCTTCACACCAACATCACCCGCCAGGTCGTAGTCTTCACCGGCATCCCGCCGTCAGCCAAGACCTGCTCGCTCGGTTGGCGTCAGGGCTCGATCGAAAACCGCGTCTTCCGCGTCGATGGCAACGGCCTCGTCTCCTCGCGCCAGCTGAAGTCCGAGGGCTTCCCGACGTGGACCACCGGCAGCGACGTGCTGATCAACCCCACGACGATCGCACCGTTCCAGGAGGGTAGCGAGTTCGTCCCGGGCATGGACTTCACCTTCTGGGACCAGCCCGAGTTCTCCGCCCCTGCGACGCACGGCGGCCCGAGTGTCAAATGCCAGGAGAGGATCGTCGTGGAGCTGGCGGTCAACTTCAATAACGGAGAGGATGGGCGGGTGTTTATGCAGGATGATGCCGAGAATGGGTTGTACATTTCGTACTCTTAGGAAATGTTTCGTCGGAATAGCTGGGCTTAATGGCCTCGTAATTGGTTGGCTCGCGGAGTTCCTGGGATACTCTTTTGGCGTTGAATAGGTAGCTTATTTTGCCCTGACAATATTGCACATATTCGATAAATTCCAAAGTTCCTATCATGGTGTCCGTAGCTGACTTGACTGGCTGGTAGAAGGTGTTACGGCTTGAACTATCGTCCTGTCCAAGCGATAGCTGACAATTGGAACTCACAACGAAGCCATGCCATCCCATGGGCCTTCGCAAATACGAAAACTATTTGCTCACAACTGAATGTGCCACAGTGTAATCGGCTAGCCAGGCCGTAGAGTGGGCAGGCCTTCTCCCGTGAGTTCCATCCCGATCATGTCTATCCAGAGAACGAGACCACTCCGATACCCCATGCATTCAGGTGGTAAACTGGGCCGACAGCCAAGGCCGTTGCAACGAACAGTTGAGATCAACCTGGGAGCATTGCGATTCTTGTGGCTAAGCTAAATTCCGCAACAGCCGAGCTTATCATGCTGCAAGTGCGGGCTGTCGTGAGGAATGTCGGCCGCTACTTGAGCATGACACACGGCCGATGTGTTTTGATGGCTCAAGGCGGTCATCTTCTCCAGAGTTCTGAATCTGAATGAAAATTCCTATCCCAAAGGCTTGCCCAGACTGCGTGGCGTCAGCGGAGAGAGTGCTTATCTGAGACTACGAGCTGGCACTCGGATGAATGTAGAAACCCGTAGAAAATAACGAATTCAGGAGCGGAGGCGCAGAATAGCATGAAGCCCCTTGTATACTCTTAATGCAGAATTTTGTTGGCTCGGTTGAGAGCTAATTTCTTCGAGCACCATTATTGACTTGCGTCCGTTTACGCTAGCTTCTTTGTACAGATAGCCTCGAACCTTCGGACGCCCTCAGGGCATGCCGATGTCCTCTACAACAGTTCAAGGCGGGGTTTAATATTGATGACCGGTGTTCAGAGCTCATCAGTCTCGACTGAAAGTACGAAAGAAACTCAAAAGGAAAAGGGGCACTGGCAGGTTGGAGAGTTTCAACGCCCTGATGTGGGTGCTCAGCATGCCGGTTTTGTACTTCGTTGCCGCGGGTTGAGCTCACCATTCAGTCATAAGTAGCAATGCCCGCAAGATACATCGGAAGCAGAAGCCACAATCAGCGGGCTTAATTGAAATAGCCTGCAAATAGACGACTCAGGGAGGCGAACGTAGCCGTTGTCGCTCTTCCTCACTGATCTATGGTTCATGTATGGACTTTTGAGTGCAGCTCCCAACAGGCAAGATGGCCGAGCGGTCTAAGGCGCTAGCTTCAGGTGCTAGTCAAGAAATTGGCGTGGGTTCGAATCCCACTCTTGTCATGTTTCTTTTGCCTCATTCGGCGACTGATTCTTTTTATTTTGCTTCATTTTGCAATGAAATGCGTTTGGTGACGATTTTGATTGAATGAGTTTCGATCGGGCGGCGGTGGTGGGTGAGAGACCCGCTTTTGCCGGGGCGGGGCCGTGAAACGGGTGTTGAAGGAGGCAGGCGCTGCGTCGCAGCTTCCAACACGAGCTGGGGCGACAGTGTCCTTCCAATTTGAGTCACAGCAAGATCAAGAGGGATTTATAAAACTATTTTGTCTCCTCTGGTCCGAGCCTTCAACACAAGCGCAACCATCGACCATGAGGACAACCGGCCTGTCCGTCGGTCCCTAGCAGCATGGAGGGAGTCTCGGCAATCCCAAACGAAATATACCCGGTATACCCACTCGCATCAGCAAGCGACTCTTCTGGACGCTCGACGACCCTTTCGACACCGGGATACAGGTCGCCCCCAACCAGTGTTACGAGCCAGGCGACGTAACGAAGCCCTACTTCCGCTCTGCCGCCGCCGCCGGTCTCGAGCCGAGCTGGCATCCCATGTCACAAGAGTCTCTGATGGAGCCCCAGGTCGCAACTATCACCGTCTGGCTCGCGTGCTTCGACTAGTGGTAGGCGCTTCGGGTTGACCTTCACCGCGACTGTACTGACACGAGGACTGACCCCCGGCGCCCGCGGGCTAAAGACGTCCGGCTCGAGGTGACGGCCGGCGGGGCCTTTGTCACGATCCACGATTACGTTTCCGCCGTGCATCCGTGGAGTATGGGTATGTGCGAGCCGCTCCTGGACGTCTTGTACCAGGTCGGTGGCGGGCAGTTGTTCCTGCCCGAGATGAAAATGGTCGTGCTTCAATTCGGTAATGGGCCGCTGAGTATTGGCAGAGAGGACCAGTGGGTTTCCCGGCACAGGAAGCCCAGACCGCCTGGGTCGCACAGGCCGGCGAGTTCCATGAGACCAGAAGAGAACAAGGAGTTCTCGCGGGAGGTTATGGAGAAGATGAAGGCGAGTTCCGTGGCACAGATACTCGAGTTGGAAAGGCTCCGCCGAGAGAATGCTCGAGGAGACGGCCCGGTTCATCTGACGTATCGGCCATGCTACGTTTCGACTACCTGAAACTTGTAATACTGTGACCAGAAGCCTAAGAGTGATGCTTGTGGTAGATAAGGATCCTTCTTTGTTAGTTACTGTGAGTGCTTATGACCTGGGCGATTCTACTTTCAGGCGCATACTAGCAGTTGGGTGACTGCCACAACTCCAGACTGTTGCTGCCACAAGATAGAATACGGCTGTATCACCTGGGTGCCGTTAGCGCTTGAACTTTGCAGGAACGGTGAAGGTAAGCTTTAAGGGTTGAAGGTTTGTCAAAGGCCTCTTCATGCCTGACTTATACATGGACATCAAGTCAACCAATGCAGAAAAGAGACGTGAGGTTCTCAATCCCGCCGCCTCGCTAGGGGTCAACGCACTTGCCTAGATCCAAATCCTAAACATCACGTTGACGAGTAGGTGCGTCTTGAGAGTTCCCAATTACCCCTCATTGACCCTGCTTCCACGACCCATGCTGCAAGGCCAACTCCCAGACATGATCACGATACGGTCAAGTTCAAAAATTATGGCATTCGTTTACTGCCTTATCACATACTTGAAGCCCTCTATCGCTCAACCTCATCAACACCTCCATCCCCCAGCTCCCTCTCAAACGTCATCTGGATATCCACAACCTGCAACAGCTGCCCAACATCCAGCTTCCGCTTCTTGTGCGCCGCCAGGCTCTTCGCCGTGCGCACCACATTCTTAATCTGCCGCCCGTTCAGGTTCCCCTCCGCAAGCCTCTCGTACCCCTCCTCGTCGACCTCCACGCCGCCCTCGACGCCCGCCAGGAAGTTCTCCCACACCTTCAGCCGGCTCTCCTTGGGCAGATCGTCATACTTGAGCGGCACGTGGATCCGGCTCTTGAACGCATCGTCAAACGTCCGCACGCGGTTCGTCGTCATGAACAGGATGCCTGAGTAATACTCCAGCGTGCGCAGGAAAATCGACACAAGGCTGTTCCGCCCCAAATCATGCAGCGAGCGCCTCTCAAGGAACACATCCGCCTCGTCGATGAGCAGCACCGCCTTCCACGTCGACGCCAGATCCAGCGTCTGCCCCAGCTTCTCATCCAGCGCCTCCGCCGACGTGCCCAAGTCGCCCGAGGACACAATATACAGCGGCCGCCGGCTGAACTCGGCTACGCACTCCGCCGTCAGCGTCTTCCCCACACCTGGCGGGCCGTGCAGCACGAGAATCAGGCCCTTGCCCTTCCCCTTGACAATGTCGTCGAACTCGGCCCCCGCCGTCGCGCGCGCCGTGTGCTCCGCCACGAGCGCCTGCACCAGCTCCTTCTGCGTCTCCGGCAGGACGAGCTGCTCGAAGCACTTCGTGTTCCACTCGATCTCGCGGATCTTGTCCACGAAGAAGTCGAAGAAGCGCTTCTCCGCGAAGCTGAACCCGCGCACCGTCGGGGCCGCCAGCAGCGCCTGCTCGTCCGTCAGCGGCGCGAACTTGTCGGCGGGCGTCTCGCGCGGGACGAGGTCCATCTCGTCGCTGTCGAGCGCCTGCTTCCGCTTCTCCCCGGCGGTCTTGGGGAACGCGGTGACGGTGAAGGCGTCGTCGGCGTTGATGCGGTGGTGCGTCTGCGCGTCGACCATGACGCGGCCGTCGATGTTGTACCGGCGCATGCGCTCGTCGAGCGCGACGCCCTTGTACTCGCGGAAGTTCTGGCCCGCGAGGGCCTCAAAGCGGCGGCCGCGGTGCGTGAGGAGGGCCGTGACGGCCTCTGGCGACGGGTGGTGCGCGAGCGGCATGGCGTTAAGCGCGGCGACCTCGACGGCGCCCTGGAACGCGGGGATTTGGAGGTACTCGAAACGGATACCGAAGTCGTCGCCGTCGAAGTCTACGTACTCGACGCCGAGGCGGAGGCCGGGACACTGGCCGCAGACGTAGTCGTACGAGCGGAGCTTGTAGGCGCGGGCCTGGCTGAGGCGGGTGGCGTAGACGAGGCACCCGGGGCGGAAGATGGTCCAGAGGTACTCGTAGCTGATGAGCCGCTGGCCGAGGAGGTTGGCGGTGTTTTTGATGGTGTCGGCAAAGTGCTCGTCGATGAAGGCGAGGAGGAGAGGGAGGTGGCGGGCGCCTTCGGAGTCGGGGTCGAGGTCGTTGCCAGCGGCGGCGAGGTCGTCACGGTAGTGGTAAAGGCTGCGAGGGGGGAAGGCGACGGAGATGTCGGATGTCATGTAGGACTGGCCGGGGTATATGCCACCGATGACGTCCTTGAGGATGGTCTTGAGCGAGGGAGAGTTGACTTCGAGGGATGTGCGGCAGACGAACTCGTTTTGCATGTTGTACTCGCGGGTGATCTGGCCATGTCAACACCAAGCCTCTGTCTTGGAGGGAATGGATACTTACGCAAAGAGCGTACTTTTCATACCAGTTCGTCTTCTGCTCGGGGAGGTCTTCATCCTCCTTTGGCTCGGCGATATACGCCCGGCCCTTCTTGGTCCATCGCTTCTCGAGATGTTTCAGCTCGATCTGCATGGGAGCCTTCTCGAGCTCCTCGCGGCGCTTCTTCTCTTCCTCAGTGAGAGTGCCATTGATCTCATTCTGATCCTCCTCGTCGATGGGTTCATCTTGGGTGCTTCTGCGGGCGGTTTGCTTGGTGCGAGCCATGGCTGGACGTGCTGTTGGATATGCTGTTCCACGTGCTATTGGACGTGCTGATGGAAGTCCTGTAGGATGGCGCAAGGGTCTTCGGTATCCTCCAGGAACAGATTTGTCCGTGAGATCTCTTCCCTCTGCGAAGTTGAACGAGGACATTCTTATACCAGCGAACGACCTTCTGATCATGTAGTTGGGAGATCAAGGTAAACAGACTCAAGCCTCAGGGGCTAGGCATAAAAGTCCTAGATGCAGGCAGCCGTACCCCGCTCGGACGAGCAAAGAGTCACCGGCTACCGGAACCGCATCAGATACACCATGTCCCAGGGTGCTGTGACTCAAGACAATGTCAAAAGGATCAACAGAATTCGATATCCGACATCGTTCTTTGGGGAAATCTGCCTGTTTCGGAGAGGGTCCTCTGCGGCACGGTCCATAGACGGGGCTATTGCTGCCTGCGCTGCCTTGAATCCTGCGTGCCGTTCGCCGCGGCCCAGCCTGGCGGCCTAGCCATCGGACGAAAGATGCCTACAGCGAATCAGGGCGTGGAGAAAAGGACATCGCTAGGCAGAACCGGGCGGGGAGATCGGCTCAGGCGCCGGGGGATGCTGCCCTTGGCGATGGCGGCCTGGACCTTGACGACATTGGAAACACCCTTGTCGAGATGAACATACCTGCCGAAGTTTGTACGCAGCTGCACGACCACAAATTGAAGTTGATCGTGCCTCGTGTTCGTAGACTCCTTTCGAGCAAGCGAAGAAGTGATGTGATGGTACGTGTAAACGCCACAATGACTAAGCAGCCGTCAGCCACAAATCAAGGCAGGAGTGTGGCGCGAAAGATGAAATCACAAGCAGCAAAACACGCTTACAAGACAAAAAAACTCTTTTGTATCTGACTCTAAATACATGCTGGGCTTACCAGCGCACCTCGGACTCGGGTGCTGGGCTTTCTCCTCCTCCAATCACTGAAACGCAATGCAGCGAATGCGAAAATGGTGTATCAGTCGCCATGTGATGTTACTCTATCCCCAAAACTCCGTAATTATATCATGCTAATTGCGTATATACAGCAAGCCAAGTGCTTAACGGCGCGATCGCTCGACGGCGGCGGCGCTCACTTTGCTGGCCTTCTCGACGGCGCTGGTCATGGCCAGACCGACAGGCGTCATCGTTCCGCTGGGAGCGGGAGTGTTAGTCCTCGTGGGAGGAGCGGAACGGTTGTGCTGCATGTGGGCCCTGACCAAGTGGCCGGCCGCCAAGGCACTGCAAAGCGACAGCTCACCGGCCAAGACACCAGCAGCGATAACACGGGCGAGGCGGCGGGCGTTCTCGCCGGGGCTCGTGGGATGGGGGCCACGAACACCAAGCATGTCAAGCATGGCGCTCTGGGGCTCGAGGATAGTACCACCGCCGAGGGTACCGACTTCGAGAGAGGGCATGGAGACGGAGATCTGGAGGGATCCGCGGAGGCTGGGGACCTGTTAGCAACTAGTGATAAATAGGAATGGCTGTTTTGCTTACTTCTTCATGACAGTAATGCAGTTGGCACTCTCGACAACCTGGGCGGGGTCCTGACCGGTGGCAAGGAAGATGGCGGCGACAATGTTGGCAGCGTGGGCGTTGAATCCACCAATGGAACCGGCCATGGCGGATCCAATGAGGTTCTTGTTAACGTTGAGCTCGACCAGGGTGTCGACGTCGCTCTTCAGCACGCTCTTGACGACATCGCCAGGGATGATAGCCTCGGCGACGACGCTCTTTCCACGTCCGTCGATCCAGTTAATGGCGGCAGCCTTCTTGTCCGTGCAGTAGTTACCAGAGACAGAAACGATGCTCATGTCCTCAAAACCCTCGGAAGCCATGACGGAGAGGGCATGCTCGACACCCTTGGAAATCATGTTCATGCCCATGGCATCGCCGGTGGTGGTCTTGAAGCGGATGTACAGGTTGGTGCCAGCAAGAGCAGTCTTCATGGACTGCAGACGAGCAAAGTTACTGGTAGAGTTGAACGCCTTCTTCATGGTGGACTGACCAGCGTCAGAGTCAAGCCAGATCTTGGCCGCACCAGCACGCTCGAGAGTCTCGAAAGCAACACAGGGTCCGCGGGTCATGCCGTCGGCAGTCAGGACAGTAACAGCGCCGCCGCCAGAGTTGATAGCCTTGCAGCCACGGCTGGTACTTGCGACCAAGACGCCCTCAGTGGTGGCCATGGGGATGAAGTAGCTCTGACCATCAATAACGAGAGGGCCAGCGACACCGACGGGGAGGGGCAGGTAACCAATGACGTTCTCACAGCAGGCACCGAAGACACGCTCCCAGTTGTAGCCGGCGTAGGGAAGCTTGGAGCGCTCGAGGCTGCCAGTGAGGTCGGAGGTGGCGTTGGTACGGGAGATGATGCTGCGGCGGATCTTGACGGCACGGGTGTGGTCCTTGAGAGCGCGCTCGAGAGAGTAACCTGGAATCTTGCCGCGGAGAGACATGCCGACGACCTCCTGGTCGCTCATTTCGTGGACACGCTTCTCGTCGATCATCTTCTGCAGCTCGGCAATGGTGCGAGGCTCGGGGGTGCTGGCCTTGGTCATGGACAGCTCAGACTCGTCGTCCGACAGTGCCGGAGTTGCGGGCTTGGGCGTCTCGGGAATGTACTCGCCGAGGGGCAGGGTGGCCGAGTCGGTATCGTTAAACTTCTCAGCCTTGGCCAGCTCCTTGGGGTCGATCTGGTGGTCGGGGACGTTAGGGTCCTTGATACCCCAGCGAGCGGCGTTGAAGAGGTAGCCGTTCAGAGCAACACTCATGGCGAGGGCAACAACGATCCACTTGGAGAGAACAGGGTCCTCCAGACTCTTCAGGATGCTGCCGACCATGCGGCCACCAACGCCATAGCTCTCAAAGTGGTCATACTCGTCGTCGTCTCTGGAGCCGGACTTGCTGGCGGGAGAAGGGAGAGCATAGTGGATTGAGGGGTACTCGAGCTCGTACTTGATAGGGGTGAGGACAGTGACGACGGTCTGGCGCTCATTGGCCTTGGCCGACTCAAGGATAGCGTCAAGACCGTTGGAGGCAACCTTGAAGGGGTCGACGGGAGGGGCGGTCACAACGGCGCTAAGACCACCGGTCAAAGAAGACAGGCTCGGGAGAGAGCTGGAGCTGCGGAACGGGATGGTGCAGATGTTGATGACGTTGATCAGGATGAATCCGGTGACCATGAGGACCTTGAACTTGGGGACGTTGCTGCTCTTCATCTGCTTGCCGAACAAAGAAGCCTCCTTGGGGGCCTTCCCGTTGAAATCAGCCCAATCGTTGCTCTGAGCCACGTTTTCGGCAACGCGGCGGCTGACACCGTCGTCCTCGAGGGCGCGGCGCATCTGCACGTGGCGCTTGATGCGGTTGATCTCCAGCTTAATGCTCAAAATTGCCGTGTAGAAGGAGAAGAGCAGAATGCAGTCGAAGAACAAGATCCAGGCAGCGAGGAAGCAGAACTGCTGGAGACCGCCCTGGACACCAGAGGCGGCGCCGATGATGAGCACAGCAATCTCAATGGCGTAGTCCTTGACAATGTCGTAGCCCTTCTCCTTGATGGCGGCCTGCACAGCGTATTGGATGACGTTGGGGGACGAGACCTCGGACTTCTTGGACTTCTTGTCCTCCTTGTTGTCCTTGGGCTTGCGGTGCTCAATGGCGTGGGACAGAACGGCACGGGTGAGGACGATGTTCTTCTCGAAGCCAATGGTGACGACCAGGAAAGGCAGACCCTCGGACAGCAAAACCATGGTGATGGGAACGCCGAGCTTGGTGGTGACCAACAGACCGAAGAGGAAGGCGAAAACCGAGGAGAAGAGGACGTTGGTGAAGAGCCAGAAGTTGGAGCCCATGCGACGCATCGAGAGGAAAAGGGAGACGAAGGTCAGGTGCATGGAGAGGTAGCCGAGGACCATGATGACGATGTCCAGAGCTTCGGCGTTCTTCAGCAGGTCGATGAACTCGGTCCAGCCGTTGCGAACCCACTGGACGAGGCTGTTGCGGGTGTGAACCTTGGCGGCCTTCATGATCCACATCTTCTTCTCCTTGCCGTGGACCGTAGTCTGGGTCTCGTCGCTAGAGGCATCGGGGATCTCTTGGGCAAGAGAGAGGAACTCAGGAGCCTGAGAGTAGGGCACAGCGAAGGCGAGGGCGCTGTCCTGGGAGTAGCTCGTCAGGGAGTTGGAGGTCTGCGGCAGCGAGGTGACGGACAGGTTCTGGGGGATCGGGACGGCGTGGGTGCGCGGGGCGGTGTTGATGGACTCGGGAGACTGAGACTCGGGGAAGACGAGGGTCAGGAGGGCGAGGTGGTCGACGTCCTTGGCGACAGTGGCCTCGGGCTCGACGTTTTGCCATTTCCAGGCAGTCTCGGGGCCGGCTTGCAGACGGCGGCTACCCTCGGTGAGGGAGGACCAGTCGGCGGAGCGGACACTGATTGTAGCATCGAACAGGCTCTCCTGCAGAAGTCCTACGTAGGAAGTGCTGGCGAGGACGGCGACGATGACGACGGTGTGGATCGGGTGGGAGCAGGCGACCTTTGAGAGGAACTTGAGGCCGGGCGTGAGCTTCTTGTTGAGCCAGGAGGGAGCAGCGGCCTGGGCGGCAGGCTGCTCGCCCCGGAATCGGCTGGGGAGAAGCGATGAAGATATCATGGCGAATGGAGCGGTGAATGCAGCCGTAACGATTAGGAAGTCATTTGGGGTTCGAAGATCGGATCAAAGGGTCTGAAGCAAGAGTCTGGGTCGGACAGTTAGCAATTGACGCCTTGACGAGAGTTGGAAACGGAGCTCAGGGCCGTTGTTGAGTGCGCGAAAAAGTCGCGAAAGGGGTGGTTTGGGGGAGGAAGCGGGAAGCGGGCCATTGAATTGGAATGAGGAAATTTTGGGCTAGGTTTGGCGGCGCGGTTTATTGATTGTGTGGTGCTAAGCTCTCGTGCAGTGCTGCATCGCCTGTGGTGTAGGTACTAACTACTACAGTATGCTCTGCGGTACGGTACGGGGCCGTGCGGGATGCGCTGCAACTGCAGCTGCAATTGCAACTGTAATGCCAATTGGGTTGGAGGAGGGGTCGAGAGTTGCGCATCGTACGTACCTGTTCCAGTCGACGGAGCAGAGAGGCGCCGTTGACGTCTTTCGTGTTCAAACGTGCAGCTTAGTGCCTCAAGGATTATGCGCGCACACAACAACTTTTCGTGAGAAAAGTCGATGTTGAGGGAGGAAGAAGGAAGGCGACAGGGCAGGCCGAAAATTTGAAAAATTATTAGTCGAGAATCCGGTCGGAGATCGAGGCTGGTCGGTGGTTGCGGAGAGCCGAAGTCGCAAGGAGCTGTTGAAGTGCTCAAATTCGGAGGAGTGGGTTACTACTGTACGCAGCGCCGGTTTCCTGTTGAAGAGGACGGGACTGACTGCGAGTAGCGTAGGGGAAAGCTGAGGGAGAGGGAGGAGGAGCGAAACAAGACCCTCGCGATGCAACGGCGGCCAAGTACCTTTTTACTTGTAGATATGGAGCCTGCTGCTGGGTCGGAACGGGTCGAAGGGGGGGTCGGAGGCCAGGGTGCGTGTATGGTGTTGTTCAAGTCCTAGGTTGTCTTGGACTGGGACACACAGAGACTAAGAGAGGCTCTTAGTGCCGTTGGCGATGATGCTGACGCCGATGCTGACCCTTCAGATATGTAGATTACAGGCCAAGGGATATAAGGCCAGTTGTTGTCGGTGGCGGGAAGGATAGGTCGTGATGTTGGAGGAAAGGAGCAAGCACTAAGACGTTCACGAAGGAGGGCGGGAGCAGCACGTTTAAAGATGCCAGGAGGCGGCAGTCGGAGACAGAGCAAGAAAACAGAGTTGCTGACACCCGGATGCTTGTCTTTCTAGGTCCAAGGTATCAAGGTACGAAGTACTTTTGTATTGCAACAGACAGGAGACACCGAAAGAAGAGAGGGAAAAAGAACCAAGAAGCAGAGCCAGGACCAGAGAGAGGCCTGGAATTGGTACCGGCCGCGAAGAGCAAAATTGAGGTACCCGTTCGCAGCGGGAATTTACCGTGGCAGGCAAAGTACAAGCAGCTCCACACGGGACGAAATTGAGTGATGCTAATCCCAGCAAGATGTGTTGGGCTGGACGGGGACACTGGGGGGGGAGCAGCAGGCAGGTTTGTGGCCGATGATGATCTCGTCTCTCACCCAAAAAGGAGACGCAGGAAAAAAAAAAAAAAAAAAAAAAGGACTTGACGTGGATTGCCCAGCAATGGCAAATTTACCGATCATGGTCCGCCCCTCATGTACCGCGGTTCCTCTGCGACGCCTTGCCTGATTGGGTAAGAAGGGCTGTGTGTCAACTTTTCCCCCCCAACGCTGCAGCCTGTGCAAACAGCTCAGCCAACAAGGGTTCCACCCAGCTCGTCTTTGGCCGCCATTTCTGACATTGGAAGTCTGCAATATCTTTAGCTAGGTAGTCAACATGCAGGTAGTCAGCGCAAAGGAAGCTGATAACAACACCGATGCCCCTGTTGCATATTGCCTACTGCGTCCTTCATGTCTCTGCTTGGGCTGGGGCGGCTGGGCAGACGTTGGGCTGTCGCATCCGCCCCGGCATGTCTGTCGTCACCCGCTAAGGTCCATGCCTTTTGCGCTATCTGGAAAGGAAAGGCCAGGCGGAAGCCAGGCGTCACTCTGCCTTCTTAGCATGATGGAGCGCCCCCAAAAGACTAAGGCAACAGGTAGGCAGACAGTAGTGCATGTGTCACAGGGGGCTACCGCAGCTGCAGCGCCGCACAGATGGCGCGTCTCGTCTCGTCCAATGAACTTTTATTGCTCCCTCTGAGTGAAATGGACGAACCAAAGGCATACACAGTAGGTACCGGGTGGATGGAAGAACAATCGGTCTAGCACAATGGCTCGAGGACCGCCACACTGTAGCATCCTGCCTAAATCGTGTAGTTTGTTTGCTTCTCGGCCTCTTAGATGATGGTGTCTGCCCCTCCTCCATGTTTTCGTAGCTTGGTCCCTGAGCATTGGCGCCGGATTGGTGGTGACCCGTGGGCGATAGCTCGTCTGTCTTATCTCGTGCCAGCCCGATAAGGGACCTCGATGATTCGGCACCTGCATCACTGGACTGCCCAAAGCCTCAAACCACCGAGAACTACCTGCTTTAACCAAGAACTAACTACGGATACCAAGAGCACCGCCAACGCCGCGTAACGGAACACAGACACAAACACAGACACGGGACCTGCTGCGGTCGGTCGGCGGCCCTGCGGTGTGCGGCAACTCTCAGTCGTGTGTCTGATATGGAGTCCGTTATTTATCATGACACCACAGACGCAGCAGGGACGGCGGTAAGGCAGGGTCCCATCCGGCGAGACGACGGGCGGTCTTCGAGAAGGGTCCAAGGGTGCAGGTCCTTTTCTGCAGCAGAAGAGAAGAGAAACAGAGGGCGGTTCGTTTCTTTCCCAGGCAGATTCTAATCTGGGTTCTTTTCGGTGTCGGCTCCGGCAGGCGAACCAGCAGGAGCATTGGAGGTGAAGTTGCAACTGCCTGCCCTCCCTGCCTGCCTGCGATTGTAACTGCAACTGCGACTGCAGGAGCTGGTGTCCGTACCGGGTGGAGTGCTTATTCCCCTGCTGAGGCGTGTTCTCTGGGTCTTTCCTTCCTTGTGCTGGCTGACGTTGGGATTGAACTGCCCGCAGCCAATGGAACCCATCGCACCCGGATTTACACCGGGGTTACATTGACGTGATTGAGCCAATCCCAGCCGACCTTTCGTGGAATTGCAGTGGGTCTTGCCTGGCCTGGACTGGCCCGCTGTGCTGTGCCTTTTTCTTTTTCTGCTGGCAAGTGCGATTGTATCCGTAACTGCCTGCAACAGCAATGGCAACTGCGATCCATTGCTGTGCCGTGCCGTGCCGTCTTCCATCGTCCTTCCATAATAATTCTGACATGCAGCTCTCTCGCTTCCAATTCTTCATTCCCGTCCTGAACCAAAACTCATCATCACCGGATTTCGGATTCTCCCGCCCCCAACTCCTTCTGTCGAATCCTTCACCGAGAAATGAGACGCTGACATTCTTTCAGCACCTGCCTGCACGCACCATCATGGCTTACACCCATGTCCAGCTGTCCCATGCTGACTTGCTTCGGCCGGTTTGCTGCTTCAAGCCCTCCCTGCCCCGTCTCCCCCAGATGTCCCTCATCGACATGGCCCTCTGTCCCAATCTGTCCATCTGGGACTGGGAACATCACAAAAGAACTGATTGCTTCTCCCGCTCTCCCGCGCTTGCCTCGCAGACCTGATCTGACACGCCGGGTCCCTGGTCTTTTCGTCGACCTCCGCTGTCCGTCGCCCACTCAATCCGACGCCGTACCCCTCCGCCCGGCCCTTTTTCTCAACCACAATACACCAGGGCATCACCGATGAAGCAGTGTCTTGACTCTCGACGTCTGCGGGACTGCGGGTACTGCCCGGCGGTGAGCCCGTGTGAGCCTCCATTCGTCGCCGTTGCCAATCGCCTGCCCAATAGGACGCCCGCCAACATCAGATCTCTGCAGCCAACCCCTGGCGATCTCCTATTTTTCTTCCCCGTCTTCTTCCATCCACCGCATGGACCAGCCAAAGGCCCCTCGCTCTCCCACTGCCGCACCTCCAGCGTCGCGGGGCCACGGAACCCTCGCAATGCGCTGATACCCAAGCACACCTTACCACGTCTGCGGCGCAGCAGGTCCCTGTCCGCTGTCACTGGTTTGCTGTGAAATCCCAGTCGAAGCCACTCTTCTGCTTTCCTCAGAACGGATACCTTCTGGGCTCTCGCTGCGACTATCAATGGCCAATGCTCCCACGGAGGGGCTTTGGACCTGCTGGCCGGGCTGACCTGGGAGAGGGCATTCATGGAACATCGAGTCAGCTGTCAAAACCACACTGCGGGAGAAACTGTTAATCTTTGGGCCAGCAAACTAGCTTGCTATGCCGTTTACCCTATCTCGATCGAGCCTTTACAGGCAGCTATTCGTCAGGGTAGGGCTGCATCCAAGCAAGCGCATAGAGCAAACACACGCTAGCAGACCATGCTGACGGACTGTCAGAAACCCAAAGACCAACAAGAGTGCTTGAAACACGATGCCGCACACGGAGACCGTACGGAAGGATACTTTGATCGCGTTCCAGGTGCAGAACAGGAAACGGAGACTATTGCGCTTGGCCCGCCCTGCACCAACAGACGGGGCGGGAATGCCACCTTCTGGCCTCGTCTCATGTGACGACGCTCAAAGGAACGACAATTTCTCGGCCCCTCATCCCCGTCGTGCCGTGCCAACCCTTCGGACCTCCGGCCCCTCCACACTGACAATCCTCACCCCGCTGGCTTCCAATTCGCTCTTGCAGTCGTCCCATTTCTCTGCGTCCACCGGCTTCGTTCCCTCCTCGACGATGAAGGTCCGGAAGCCTTCCTTGCTCGCATCCAGTGCTGTGAATTTGACGCAGTAGTCGCCAGCCAATCCGACAACGAATACGTCAGTGACGCCCTTTCCTTTCAGTGCCCCCGCAAGCCCGCTGTCGGCGACCCTGGACGACTGGAAGGGGTCGTAGAAGGCGCTGTACATCTCCACCTCCTTCATCTGGCCCTTCTCAATGACGGTGTCGACGGCTGAGGCATCCAGCTCCGG